CTGGCCTTGCTGCTGCTGCCCACGCCGCCAGAGTGCGCCGCATCGCTGCTGTCGCCGCTGCTCCGGCTGCCGTCGTCGCTCTCGTCGCCGCTGCTGCCGCCGGGGAGCGGCTCCTCGTGGCCGGTCCAGCCTTGTACGCGCGTGCGCGCAGCTGCGGCCGCAGCTCGGCGCGGCCGCGCCGCGCCCGACTCGACGGCCGCCTCGGGTGCGGCGGCGCCGCCGCCAGCGCCGCCGCCGCTGCCCCTGGCCGCCGGCGCGGTGGGCGCCTCGGAAGCCGGCTCCTGCTCGCGCGCCGCTGCGGGCTCCAGCTGCTTCCTTGCAGCACCCGCCCGCGGGGAAGGTGCCGCGGCGGCGGAGCGAGCCGCCGCCTCCCTGCCTCGGCTGCCCCTGCCCGCTGGTGGCTGCTGGCCCCCGCCGCCCACAGCGGCCGCCGCCGGGCCGCCGCCGTCGGAGCGGCCGCTCCGGCTGGGCGCGGGCTGGCGGGCGGCCCCGGGCTTCGCGCCCGAGGAAGGCCGCGGCGTGGAGGGCTGCTGCGTGGCCGTCGCCGCCACCGCGCCGCAGCCTCCAGGGTTGGCCGCGCCGCCGCCGGGCGGCGCCGCGAGGCGGTCCCTGCGGCTGGGCCGCCGCCGCGCCAGGACCGGCGGCGTGGCGCGCAGCACCGCGAGCAGCTCGGCGGCGGCGGCGGGCGTCATCCCGTGCGGCGGCTGCGCCGCAAGCTGCTCAGCGGGCGGTCCGAAAGCACGCGCCAGGGCCGCCGCCGCCGCGCCCGCCGGGCCGCCGGGGCCGCCGCCGGCGGGGCCGGCTGGGCGAAGCCCCTCCCCGCCTGCGCCCCCGGCCGGCGGCGCGCCCACCTGAGTCGTCACCTGTGGCGGCCCCCACTGCTGCTGCTGCGCCACGTTGACTACGGCCGCGGGGTCGGCGGACCATAAAGGGGCCACCAGACCCAGCAGCAGCGCGCCTGCCGCGGCAGCGAGCTGCGAGGGCGCGCCACCTACCAGCAGCTGCCGCACGGCCTGGAGCTGCTCTGGAACGGGCGTGCCGCGCCGGGGCAGCTGCTGCTGCTGCTGCTGCTGCTGCTGCTGCTGCTGCTGCTGCTGCTCTTGGATGCGCAGCCCCAGCGGCAGCGGCTGGCTGGCGCGAAGAGTCCCCAGCAGCTGCTGGGGGTCGAACATGGCGGGCACCTCGGCCGCCTCGAATATTGGCAGCTCCACGCCGCCGGGCGGCAGCGCCGCGTCGTCGGCGTCGACGAGCGGCCCGCCGCCGCCGCCGCCGCCGCCGCCGTTGCCGCCGCCAAAGTCTTCGTGCAGCAGGTGCGCCCCACCGGCGCGTGCGGCGCCGGCGTGCGCGCCGCGGGCGAGCGCGCTGCTGGTGGCGCCTGGGGCGAGGCTGCTTGGGCCGCCGCTGGCGGCGGCGGCGGCGGCGGCGACAGCATCGTCTTCGTCCTCCTCTGGCACCTCCAGCATCTCCGGCCTCGCGCCCGGCGCGTACTCATCCATCGTCCGCGGCATCCAGGGCCCGGGCTCCATTGCTGTGGCGGGGGCGAGGGGAGGCAGCGGCGGCCTGTGGGCGCGGTGCACAGGGCACCGACGGCGGCCGCCGCCGCGTGGCGGGCCGCCGGCGCGGACCGCCCCGGCTGCGGCCTCAGCGGCGCTCTCGACCGGCCCTGCCGCTCTTAAAGAGGCGCAAAGCCCAAACTGCGCACTTGGCAGCCGCAGACGCGTGGGGCAGGAGCGCCCGGGGTCGCGAGTCGGACAACCCCTCACGCGGCCGCAGCGCCCCTCGCGCTTGACGATCGAGCGCGCTGGCTAGCGTAAAGGAATGTCTTATTAACACCGACCAAGCCGCTCCTGACGGTCGCCTGTGGCTGTGCGTATCCCGCACGCCGCCCTGCGCAGGCCGCCGCTGCGCAGGCCGCCGCCGGAAGGTCGGTCCGCGGGCCGGTCCCTCAGCAGTCCAGGGCTCCCAATGAGCCTGGATGCTGCAAGAATACTGCCAACAACAGCCCCCCAGAGGCGCCACAAAGAGAAGCACGCGTACAGTGAGGAGGGACAGCAAAACATGATCGCGCGCACGCACGACGACCCAAGCAAACGCACGCAATCCCAAAGCTGACGCAAGGCTGCGTCGCGCAGAAGGGGCAGCGCGCAGGCGCCGTCAGTACCTGCAGGTGGGCGCGCCCCTCCCCTCCTGTTACACCGCCTGAATCGCACTCTGCCCACCAGGCGACCGCCGCACCCAAGCCGCGGTGCAGCTGCCAAGGTAACAGGCAGGCTCCGGCACGTCATCACAGTAGTGGTGATAGTTGATGCATGAATACTTCATCGTTTTTTTCGGATGACGATGATGATTAATGCAGATCACAAAAATTTGATTTGATGGTTACTCCGCCCACGGCATCGTGGGATCCTATACCGGGCCGCCTTTTTCAACCTCCCGCCCGCCGCCCGGTCCGGCGGTGCGTCGGGTGCACAAGCAAGCATCACCGCATCAGCGGATGGGCAAGCAAACGGCGTGTGGGGCAGTCCAAAAAAAAGACCCGCGGCCAACCGCCGCAAAGGCCAAAAACCAACTGCCCCACCCTTCAGCGCGCGGCTTTCCCCCGTCCCGCGCCGCAGCGCGCGCCGGCGGGGGCAAGCCGCAGACGCCGAGAAACGAAAGCGCGCGCGCGAGGAAGCCAAAGCAACTGCAGGCACAATAGACCATGGGGCAGTGTCGCCAACTGGGTCGCCCTACACAGCCGCCGCGAACCGCCCCAAGCGCGCGCCTCCAACACGGCGTGACGGCGCGCCCCCAAAGCGCACACAACAAAGCAAGAATCGAGGGGCGGCTTAGGCCCATGCCGCAGGGGCCGGTAAGTGAGCACAGCGCCGCCCCGCGCCACTGGCAGCGGCAAAACTGTGCAACTGCCGAGTGCACCCGCAGGGAGCAGCCCTGGCCCCCGGGCCAGGGCGGCACCCCAAGGAGGCACCCGGAGCACACCGCAAAAACGCCGAAACGCGCGCGCAAAGTGACGAGGCCTGCGGCGCCCCCGCCCCGCGGCGTCGCCGGCTCCTTTCCACCCGCGCGGCAGGCGCCCGGCGTAACGCCGCCGCGCGCCCGCCCCGGTCCCCCCTGCGCGAATTCCACTCCCCCTGGCGACGCTGTACCCCGTCGTTCTTTCCCCCGAGTTTGCGTCGAGTGTCCCCGGCGCGGGGTGTCGCGCTCAGCGGAGGTGGGGAATAGCGCAGCACCGCAAACTGCGTGCGCCCGCGGGGCTCAAACGCAGCTCACAGGGCGGCGCGGGGTGTCGCGCTCAGCGGAGGTGGGGAATAGCGCAGCACCGCAAACTGCGTGCGCCCGCGGGGCCCAGCCCGGAAACCAGGCGCGCCCCACACGCAGACACAGGCAGACAATCAAAACACGCGCATGCAAGCAAGCAAGCCGGGGCAATCAACGCCACCGGGAAGCCAACCGCGGCCGTCCGCAGACTGCAGCCGCGCTCTCCGCATGCGCCGCCGCCGCGCCGCCCGCCGCCATGATGCCACGCCACGCCGCCGCCTCGCCGCCGCACGCCGCAGCTCCACTCCCCGCCTCCAGCCGTCCTCCAGCCGAGCCGCCGTTGACCAGCCTGCCGCGGGGCGCCGCGCGCGCGGCAGCGCCCCGCGGGTTACCCAGGCCGCCGGCGGCAGCGCAGCCGCTGGCAGCGGCTCCGCCCCGTCGCGACGGGGCCTGCAGGTCGAAGCGTCCACCTTTCCCGGCGCTGCGGCGCCCTGCACCGCAGCCCGTGGGCC